TGGGTAACCTCCGGCCGGGACTCTAGAATCAGGTCAGGCCCATCACTGCCCTTCTCCACACGGGCCTCTGCACGTACTGACCAGTGCCAGGTATGGATGCTGTACTGATCAGAACTCCTAGTTTCCAGCCTCAGAAACCAACTAGCTAATGTAAAAGAACAGGGATTTCATTTTTAAAGGGCCATCGGGTAATTCACAGAAGGTCTAGGCCACCCAGAAAACCAAGCCACACAACTCGAGGGCTCGAAGCAGAGCACACTGACACAGCCTGAACCTCCTGGCCCCTGGGACCACAGCTGCCCCCACGGTCCACCCTCCCCAATGGCCTCCAGGTACCCCCAGCTTCTGTCCAACACTCACCTCCAGCTTCAGAGTCACACTCCGGTGGGTGTCTCTGAGCAGCCCTACCTGCAAAGGTGGGCATTTCCCACGCAGAGAAAGAGCCAGGGCCCTTGAAGACTGACAATGCCCATCATAAAAACAAATGGATGACACGCCATCTCCGGGAATACTAGTGATACAGGCCAGCAGGTAATAAAAGGGTTCCAAAAAAAAATATTTACCAAAAAAAAAAAAAAAAAAAAAATCCTCAAAGACAGAAAGAGAGACAAAAAGAATCCTACCCAGGGGTAACACTATTTGGGGAGGGTGGGGGTCTTTTTCATACCATTTACTGTTGTACTTAGTATATCACTTAATTCCAAAGACCTACCTTCCTAAATTGAAAATGACTCATTAAGAGTGTTTTCTAATTAAAAGAAAAATAATTCAAACCTGGAATAGCAAATACTTCTCTAGAATAAAGGACACAAATCCTTAGATCTGAAACAGTAACGCAACGATTGCTAAAAGACAGGATTCTATCTAATGCATTTCAATATCTTTTTCTACTTAAAGCATATTTTTTAAATGTATGTTTGCTTAAAAGAATAATTCTCAAGAGGTCCTTCTCCTAACCTGAATCTCAGAATAAGAAAAAAGAACAAGCTATGAAAAGCTATTAACACTAATTCAAGATGACCAACTATAAAAAGATATCCGCATTAATGTCAGATAATCAGAAAACTAAACCTCCAACTAACAACGTTTAATTTCTATATGAAGAAAGCCTTCCAGTGATCTCAACGTATAGTTAACATTATGAAACAAACCCTAAGGACCAGAATCTGGTCATAAAACAAAAAGAGGGGTAATGTCAGACCTGTCAAGTCCTGCCTTAGCCTTATCTTCACAAGACTGACACACCAGATCTGAAATGGAAGCATGCATTTTCACACGCAGACTCCTGGCCCGTTAGCAGCACATCACCAGCATTTTACTTTCTCCCAGACAATTTCTCCACACCACAGTCTTCAGAACTGACATCTGCATGTATTTAAAGAGAAATATTATTTAAATTGGTTTGCTTATGGCTGACTTTGTCCAAAAACAAGACAGAATGAGTAAGAGGGAGTTTGTACTCCCTGAAGAAAAATCCCAAGACAATGAAAGACGACTCGGAAGCACACTGAATAGCAGGAGGGAGAATTAAAATTTTCCAGATAATTCACTATTTAACAGTTGACCATTTAAGTGCAATTCAATCCCTCTTTGAGGGCCTACTTTGTGTAAGCCATCATGGATGATAAAGTGGACACTAAATAAGACAGTCCCAGGTCTCAAGGGGGTAATAATCTAATTGGGGAGAGGACAAATAAGTCAACATGCAGCTACTGTTAAATTAGGCAGAACTGAGAACCGAGGCAAACCACAGTTCGGAGAGTCAATGGAGGGCGAGAGTGGGAAGAGAGGGAAGAGGAACCCAGAAGAGAACAATTCCCCAGAAATAGCACCGAGGCAGCGGGCAAGGAGGTAGTAGTAGTCTGTGGGGGGATGGGGGGACAAACCGAGCTTAACCCCACTAGCTGACTCAACCCCAGGTGTGGAGAAGTCTGTATTTCCTTAAGCAAACGGGAGCCCTCGAGGCTTTGTGTAAGGGAATCCTAAGGACAAAGATGATGTACCTGGTGACCAAGGGGACAAAGAGGAGGATGAGGCTGGCAAAAGCTCTGAATTTCACGACAACGTAAGAAAAGACAGGTCAGCCCCAGGACAATGGCAGTAGGTAGGAAAGAGTTCCATAAAGCATGGGAGGCGATGCAGTGTCTCTCTTACCACCAGCCAAGAAAAGAGAGGATGAGAAATGCTTAAGTTTCCACGCTGGGTTATGACATGAACTGAAGCTTCATTAACTAAATGAATAAAATTAATTAGCCTTTTTTTCCTCTTTGTTTTGACTACTACCAGGAAGCTCAGAGCCAAATATATGGCCTATTTGTAACCTATGGCAAGCATTTATGCGCAGCCTGCAAATCTACAATTTATTTTCCTTCTCTTATTTATTTATTTGAGAGGGAGAGAGAGAATCCCAAGCAGACTCCCTGCTGAGTGTGGAGCCTGACCCTGGGTTCAACCGCAGGATCAGATCCGGAGATCATGACCTGAGCCGAAATCAAGGGTCGCACACTTAACTGACTGAGCCACCCAGGTGCCCCTATTTCCCTTCTCTTCGCAGGCTTTTATCTATACTTAGCACGTCACCTTTAATTATTTTCAAATGAGAAAAAATAAATCGACAGATTTAAAAAAGATTGAGACCAAGCCAGAGATAGCTGGACAAAGTAGCTGGCTCAGGAATACAACCTGAGGGCTGCCAACCCAGAGCATTCTCCTCACTGTTCCACCCTAGCAAAGGCCACATCTCACAAAAGAAGCTGAAAAATGCCAGACTTTCACTTTTTCAACATTCCTTACAAGGAGTAGTGCCATGAAATCAGTTCTACCCAAGACACTGATGGGGAAGTCTCCAAGGTGACCTTCTAGAAGACTCCTCCCTGCTAAGAGGGAATTACAAAAAAACCTCTTCCTTCCCTAACACAGGCTTGATGTCTGGGGCCGCAGCAACCACACTGCCAACACGAAGCAATGAGCCTGAGGCTTTCCATAAGCCAAACACTAAAAACAGAGGAATAAAAGGATGCAAAGAGCCTAGAGTCTTCAAACACTGAATGAAACACAGTCTGAATAATTTCAGACACTGCACCAGCCTTACAAACCATCTACTCTCTATACTTCTTGCTACTGGACAATAAGAAGTTCTATTATTTATGCCATTTTTAGTTGTGTATTGTTAACTTGCCAATAATTGATACTATACTGGTCAAATCATGAGGTCAGTTTCTGACAGGTAGTTTTTTATCCTGCTGAGTTTTAACAAGATCATTATTATTGAGATGAGAAAATGCAAACACATATTATTAGTCAGAAATAAAGCAATACGCTTTAAGAGCTGTTGGGAGCAGTTAAAGATAAAAACAGAAAGGGATGTAATGATAAATAACATTTGAAAAAAAAAAGTGTGATCAAGTATCGGGGCACTTCTTGAAGGCAGGAACAGAGGAAGGAAAGAGCAAATGTAGAGATGTCCTCTGAGGCAGAGAAAATGAGGGAGACTTTCTTTTCTGGCAATGTTATGTTATAGACAAGATAACTTAAAAATCCTTTCCAATACAGAACAGAGAAAAAGGGGCATCTGGGTGGCTCAGTGGTTGAGCATCTGCCTTTGGCTCAGGGTGTGATCCCAGGGTCCTGGGATCGAGTCCCACATCGGGCTCCCTATGTGGAGAGCCTGCCTCTCCCTCTGCCTGTGCCTCTGCCCCTCTCTCTCTGTATTTCTCATGAATGAATGAATGAATGAATGAATGAATAAATAAAATCTTTAAAAAAATACAAAAACTCTTAAGAAAAAAAAAGAAAAAAGACCACTCCAAGGTCAAAAATCAGGGGAACCTAAAATCCACAGCATAAAGTCTAAACTGATCATGTTTAGAAACCTAGGGTTGCGGGAGGGCCTGGAGGAGAGAGGGGCTGTGTGTGTAAAGGGCACCTGCCCTTTGGGATGTAACAAAAATAAAAAAGGGAAAGAAATGACTAGCCTAATATTTTCTTTAAAACACCGTCTTGGCGGGATCCCTGGGTGGCGCAGCGGTTTGGCGCCTGCCTTTGGCCCAGGGCGCGATCCTGGAGACCCGGGATCAAATCCCACATCGGGCTCCAGGTGCATGGAGCCTGCTTCTCCCTCTGCCTGTGTCTCTGCCTCTCTCTCTCTCTCTTTGTGTGACTATCATAAAAAAAAAAACCAAAAAACCAAACACCGTCTTGAAGCCAATCATAACTCTTGCTTCCAACCTCATACACTTTACCCTTCATGTGAACAAATTCTAGCATTAAGCGTGCATTTTAAAAAACAAGTCCGTATTACATATTTACATATCACAAAGGGCTTTCTGAACGTTTCATGGTAAGATCAATGAAATGTAAGAGAAATTTTAAAACACTGCCCGATTTTTGAGCCATTATTTAACCATCAACCACTTAATCAAGTATGCAAATTCAGGATATATATATATATGTGTATATATATATATACACACACACACACACACACACACACACTAAAAAGCTTCCAAATCTTAGGACCTTTTGGTAAAACAGCATCATTAGGATCCTTAGAATAGAATATCCTCCTTGGGACTATGCAACCGACAGCCACAAGTTTCATCAAGACGTTAGAGATCACATACAACCAGTCCGTCATCCCCAGCTCATCTTACTGCCCTCACATTGCACGTTCTGTAAGGCACAGACTCAGCCCACAAACGGGAGGGGATGGCAATGGCCTGGGAGGAGGCGCTGGGGGCTCTACAGCCGGGATGGTGGGCTCCAATGGTAGAGAGGCAAAGGGAAAGCGGCATTACAGCTGCAGCTAAGCGCAAAAAAAAAAAAAAAACAGGAAAACCTCTCCAGCCCCCCCCCCCCGTTTACCTTCTGCTACCCTCATCTGCCTCCCACGTTCCCTTGAAAACCGAAGGCCTCTCCCGTCCCTCCGCTCCCCTTCACGCGGGCTTTACGAACGGGCACGGTTCCACCCTCCACTCCCCCAGGCCGCCTCCGCCACTCACTTCCAGACCATCTTCTCCCAAAGAGTCCCAGCGCTGGGCGGTCCACGCGGCCCAGGAAACGCCCGCGCACACCATCTAGACGGTCTTCACAGGGGCGTGCACGGGAGTCCCCTGCGCCCCCAGCGCCCCGCACCCCGGGGGTCACGGACGCCGGAGCCACCCGACACCCGGCGTCCGAATCTGCGCCCGGGCCGCGCCGCGCCTCCGCGCCTGCAAACCGCTGCGCTAGACGGCGGAGGACCGAGCATTTACCCTACGGACACGGCCACCGCCGCAGGCAGGCGGGGTAAGCCCCTCGAGAGGCAAGAGCCCTGGCGCGGAAGCGCCGCGCTGGGCTCGGTCCTCCCCGCCCGCCGACGCGGGAGGAGGTCCGGGGAACCGCCCCGCGCCCGGGGGACCAGAGGGGCTCCCGGGGCTCGCGCGGTCCGCGGGGGAGAACGCACGAGTTCGCGGCGCCGGGAGGCTGCGAGCGGCGCGCGGCATTCTGGGACTCGTTTCCACAGTTACCCACGTGCACCCAACCCAACCGCGGCCCCGCGCGGCGCGGACTACAAGTCCCAGAATGCCGCGCGACCGCCTTTCCCCTTCACACCCGGCCACCGGAGCCAGACCCTAAAGGAAACCCCTGAAGCGTCCTCCCCGCAAGCCTGGCCGAGGTCGCGCCCCGCGGCCGCGGCGCGGGGCTTCGGGCCCGGCCCTCGCTGCAGGGAAGCGGGTCCCCAAGCACCAGCGTCCACACCTGACGACCAGAAATTAGACAACTGCGTCACAGGCTGCCAAACCCACGGACTGCCTGGGACCCCAACACCTCCCCTGCGCAAACCTCCCCCCCCCCCCGCGCACACACACACACCCCCGGTCTGCAGGGCCCGACCCCTCCGGACCCCGCCGCGGAGAACCCGCAGCCCGCGCGCCCCGGCCCCGCCTCCCGGTCCCGCAGCCGGAGCCCGCGCCAGCGCTGACCTCCGCTTCCCGCCGCTCTGGGGGAACCGCGGCCAGCGCCAACCTCAGGGCACCTCCCCGCCCCCTCCGCCGCGGCCCCGCCCCCTCCGCGCCCCACACCCCGAAGCTCAGGGCTCCCCCTTCCAAGGACCCCGTCTGGATCGGGGGCAGGGACCACCTCCCAGGAAACAGAGTCTCACACCTTCCCCCCCACGGGCTCCGCGCGGACCGAATCCGGACTTGACAGTCCTCCCCCCGCCCTGGCCCCTCCCCACCCCCCTCTCCTCCCAACTAGCTCGGCACCCCCACCGCACCTCCCCTACCCCTGCCCCCATCCTGCACCCCAGAGCCTCCCCGCCTCCCTCTCCCCTCACTCCCGACCCCCCTCTCCCCAACACCTGCTCAATCCTATTAAACCCCGACGCCTGCCCCCTCTCACCACTCCCAGTTACCCCCCCACCCTCCCGACGCCTCTCCCGCCCGCCGGACTCCCCAACTATCCCATCGCACCCCGAGCCCTCCCGTTACATCGGCCCTCGCCTCGGTGCCCGCCCCCCGCCCCCCTGCCCCCCCTGCCCCGCTCGGCCGCTGCCCCCGTTCCCCCACCGCATTGTTCCCCCCGCCCCCGCCATCCAGCCCTTCTTCCCATTGTCCCCGCCCCCGCGCTCCCCTCGCACTCACCCGCCTTTCTCACGGAGCCGCCCGCACCGCTCAGCCCCTAGGAAATCCTCACCCCTGCGCCCCGCCGCTCGCTCCCGCTCCCCCTGCCCGCGCCGGTGCCACCCCCGGCCCTGCCCGCCAGCGCCCGCCGCCGCCTCCACCTCCATTCACCCCGGGCACTCCGGTCCCAGCCCTGCATCGCACGTCCCGCCCCCCCTGCCCCCAACACTGAAAGGGAGCCAGTCCCCACCCCCTCCCCTCCGCCCTCCCCGGCAGGCCGGCCCCTTCCCCCCCGCCCGCCCCCGCCCCCGCCCCCGCCCCCGCCCCGCGCCGCCCGCAGCGTCACCGCCCGCCCCGGCCCCGGGAGGGGAAGGGGTGGCTCCCGGGCAGGGGCTCCGGGCGCGTTTCGGGACAGGAGGCGCGGGGCGGGGACTGCGGGAGCGGAGCGGAGAGTGTCGGCCGCCGCCGGCCGCGGCCCGCTCGCCCCCCGTTACTCACTGACAGCGGCGGCATCCGAGTGCATTTTCGGGCAGCTCACACCCCACTCGCCGCCCCGGCTCCCGCGCTCGCCTCGCGGTCCCCCCACCGGCTCGCCGCACCTCGGCTCGGAGCGGAGGACCAGCCGCCAGCACTCCGGGACCGCCCCCCTCGGCTCCAGCCATTGGCCGGGCTCCGGCCGGGGGCCCGCCCCCCCGCGCTTCCCATTGGGCGAAGGGCGAGCGGAGGGCGCCGGTCCGGGCCCGGCAGGGAGGCCCCGCCCCGCAGGGCCCCGGCGATTGGCCCGGGCGCCGCGTCCGCGCCCCGCCCCCGGCGGAGGCCACGGGCTGGGGCCGCGGGTTGGGCCCGGCTGCTGTCACTCAGCCCCGGGGGTCCGGGAGCGCGTGTAGGGGCGAGGCTGGGGAACTGGTCCACCTTGACCCTGAAGCCCCGCCCCGCCGCGGGCGGGATTGGTGGAGCCGCAGACCAACCGAGAAGGATGGGTCGGCTTCTGAAACAAAGCACGCGTGGTGTTCCGCGGGGAGCCGCGGGGCGCCAGCGCGTGTCCCGCTGCGAGGACGGGGGGCGGGGCGCGCCCCGACCCGACCTGGGGCCCCCACTCGCCTCGCGCGCCCCGCGGCGCTTCTCAGCAGGAGCCCGGTCCGCGCCCAACTTGGGCTGGGACGTCTCCCGCTGAGTGTTTCCTACCGCGGGAAACTGGACGAGGAATCGCCGCGTCCTCGTTTCCTGCAAACCCTCGGGTGGGGAGCAGACCCCCGTGCCTCGTGCAAGTGCAGCAGTCCCTCCTCTCCCCGTTTGCGGAATGCACGTCCCTTCCAGGATGCACACACTTCTGCCCCCGCCCCGGGTCACAAGTGAGCTGTTGTGCAGGCTTCGGACGCTGCGAGGCACCGTCGGGCACACGCACCTCGGTGGACGCCCCGCCCACGGCGAGTTAGGGCCGCGCTTGAGCTTGGGGCTCTGAGCTTGGGGCTCTGAGCTTGGGGCTCTGAGCTTGGGGCTCTGAGCTTGGGGCTCTGAGCTTGGGGCTCTGAGCTTGGGGCTCTGAGCTTGGGGCTCTGAGCTTGGGGCTCAGGCTGGCCCACTGGCAAGTCCAGAGGGGAGGTGCCGAGGCCTCAAGGACACTCAGCCTGAACCTGATTCACCGACTCTGGGGGGAGGGGGGGGCCTCGGTTGGGCTGCTACGTGAAGGTGTTAATTTAAGGGAATTCTTAGGACCTAAGGCAAGAATTCGCACCATTTTCACCAGTTGCAACCATTTTTCTCAACGCCTTCCAACCAACTCATCACACTCTAACCATAATGCAGCAGAGTAACACTTTGAGATACCGGGGAGGATAGCCCCCAATCACAGGACACCTACCTTATTACCCTGTATCCCTGGCCCTGCCCCAGCCTACAGCCAGGGCATTACACCCTCTCAAGGAATGGGTTACACCACAAACAACTGGTAACAAAACATTAGTCGCTTTGGTTTTAGGTTTCTTCAGCCCAAGGCTTTTGAGTTTCAGCGTTCTGAAATTTAGGTTTCAAATCAAAGGGTAAGTGTCACGCCAAAACCAAGATATTCTGAAAGAACAGGACCAAACCAGTTCCTCTGTCCCACACCACTCCTATTGTAGTCCACTCTTATCCCCCTTAATCCCTAATGTCTCAGGGGTAAATTATATCCTTATAATTGTATGTCTATCATATTTCTATCATCCAAATGTTTATGAATCCCTTCACCTAATCATAGAATCTCAGAACTGACCTTAGGTTTCTCCTCGAGAATCTCATCCATATGGGTGACCTTTAACCTGCTAGTTCCTCAGCTGGGCCTCACAGATGGGTAATTACCTCTGGACTCTGAAAGAGACCATTCCTTGTGGGACAGATCTACTTCTCTCTTTTTCTTCTCTTTTCTTCTTTTTTCTTTTTTTTTTTTCTTTTATTTTTTTATTTGAGAGAGAGAGCAATCCCACACCTTAGGGAAGGTGGGGGTGGGCAGGGGGGGCGGGGAGAAGCAGGCTCCCTGCTGAGCAGGAAGCCTGATGATGCCTGATGCCTGCAGGCTAATCCCAAAACCCCTGAGATCACCACCCAGCCTTTGGCTATCTGCTTAACCAACTGAGCCACCCAGGTGCCTCAGGGCAGATCTAATTCTAAGAGAGCCTGCCCTTACTTCGAACCGGAGAGCTGCTCCTGCATTCTTTATCCCATTGATGCTTTTAACCTATCCTCTATCTAGGAGATAATAAATTATATATATCCTACACAAATTCATATTATTTTATATGCATAATATTTGTATGTTTTTAATTGATCATGGTACTTCAAGGGCTGAGACACATTGCTGTTTTGCACAGAAATGATTTTGCTTCCTAACACCTCAAAATTTAAAATAAGCCCAAATTAAAATTAATTTGTTTTAGATACCAGTTTACTATATTGATTCATTTGCAGGAAACCTGATAATAATGTATGTAATGGCTAAGCTACTGAGCGGTCTGCCTGCGGCTCTGTCCCTAGCACTCATCTCTTTCCTGGCTCGTGGTGTCCACAAAAACTATACAGAATGTTTAACCTTTGTTATTTCTCAGCATCACTTTCAGTTAGATCAGTATGGTTATTTTCAAATAAAAACATACTTAAAAGAGTAATTTATATAGATCTTTTTGATAGTCAACTGCAGCCTCAAGCTTGAGGGACTAAGCTCATCCTTAGTCTCACATGTAGTATGAATAGTAAAACAGGTATAATTAGGTGATTACATAATATTCTGCAGCTATCACCCCGTCATTTTAATAATCCACAAGACTATGAACCTTTGAGGGCAGGAATCTTCTTATATTTATCTTTAAGTCCCTAGCATCTAGCACGGTGCTTTCAAATAGTAGGCACTACTAAACTGTTCCTTAAAATGAGCCGAATCTTGACTGTAAGGTGAAATTTTAGATCTGAGAGAAGCCTTGGGAAGATCCAACTTCCTCATTTTAAGAATATGAGAGTTGATGTCCAAAGGCGTTCAATGTCTAACCCAAGTTCCCCAAATAGTTAATGACAAAGCAGTAACTAAATTAGGTTTCTCCACTCCTAGACCAGGTCTTTTCTCCTATACCGATATCAAAGCTTCAAACTCCAAAGATGGGTAAACCACTCTTCCTTCCCTT